GACAGAGAGTTGGGACATCAAAAGATTCTTTTAATTGTTGACAATTGTACATCCCATCCGAAAGTTAACTTCTTTTAACTTCCGCTCTGAAGAATCCTAAAGAGGTCGAAATACGTATAAGCGGTTGCCGCCGATCTGTATTGAAACAAAAATCTAGTACCGTCTTTGTATTTTATTTCTTACCAGAAATTGAATTCACTAAGATTTTGACCATGATAAACGGCATGTGGAATGCAATCTTAGATTCCCTTGCCGAGTAATTTATTAAGCACAGTGGTAAAGATTTGAATTCGATTTCGCCAGGTAGAAATCGTATTGATTTCTCTTTTTGTTATTAGATGGCGTAGTTACGTCCGTATATAGTTATTTTGTAACTATTGTCTAAGACGGGAATAGATTTTGTTTCGATCCAGAGAGGTGGCTATACTGATAACTTCTTTTTTTATCCCCAAATTGCATATCTGTTCTGCAACCGAAGGATCATGGCATCACTTAAAGTTCACTACAGACAATTTTTAGTTAATCGGATCCTGAATTATGTGGAAAACCGTAGTGAATCCCTTTTTACTTTATTAGATGCCATAAATTTCATCCACAAAGCATGGACACTCGTAGATAAAAAACCACCAGAAAATGTTTCGGTCATGCGGGGTGGACAGAGACTGAGGTAGAAAACGAAGAAGATGAATATCCTGTAGTAGAGTGGTTGAGGTTACAACAGCAAAGTTGAAGCAAAGCAAAGAACTAACCTAACTGAACAATGATGACGAGTTTGCTGAATTCATTGTCATTGATGAAGACTTGTTTGTGATCTTCCGACAGATAGTCAAATTATCGCGGAAGTACGGAAGGTTTTCGTTAGTGACGAAAGTGATGAAGATGGAGAAGACATCGCGTTAATCTACGCAAGAAGGTCCTAATAGACAAAATGTGGAAAGTGCTTTAAACATTGTAAGAAACTTTATCCAAAGACAAAACGCAAATGAAGAAACATACAACTTTTTCACATCTTTAAAAAATATTATAGATAGAATGATACTGGACAATTTAAAGCAGTCAAAAATGACAGACTTCTTCCAATTGCAGAAGCAATCGTTTATGTTATCCTTGAAAATACGCTTTATACTTCAACAAATTCGCTTCAAACAATATTCAGCATCTTATATTGCTCCGAATGCCTTCACTATAGGAAGTTAATGTTTTAGAAAACTGCATATTCATATGTATTCACAGTATTATTGTTGTCGGATATAACGAGATCGGCTTATAACGAGGTAATTAGTCTGTAATTTCAGTTCTCGTTATAGAGTGAGTCTACTGTATAATGAAACAAAAACCATAAAATACCAGAAGACAGTTTGAAGATGGAATTAAGTGAATTATATAAACACGCACAATAAATTGCGTTGGTAAAACTGGATAAACCTAAGCTATATGCAGACCAATGTTGTAGTACAGAAATTGTGTGGAAATTTTCTTCAGTTTTAGAACCACATTCACCTACGTAAATATAAATATGCAACTCTCCTTTATTGACACCAGAAACTATTGACATATTGGGTGAATTTGAAGAACTAAAAATTCCTTTACAAGATAAGTAGATAAATATGCCTGACAATTTAATAATTCCAATGAAATCAGTTAAAGGTGTTCAAATGTTGACCTTGAAATTATATCTCAAAATTTAAGCTGTAGACATTTACCCATGTAATGATTTATGAATCATGCATGTATTTATTATTTGATTAAAGTATTTGTAGGAAATCTTTTTTTTTTATTTTACCAGAGACTACTGTCTATAACTCAATTGAAAAGACTGCTTTAGTTATGAAAAAAAAAAAGAGAGATGCAAGTATTTCATTGATAATTTTTTTAAATGTATCAAACGCATTTTACAGTTTCGACAACTCAATTTTAATGGAACAATTTTGGCGCTGATGGCGATGGCCATTTATTATCTGTTGCCTGATAAGAGTTGTAATTTGCAAAAACACCATATTCAACTGATTTTATAAGGATCTAACTTAAAAGAATTTAGTTGGCTTTTTTTATGCATAGATGCTTACAATGGCATGGCCGGCCTGTCATTAAATTTTTATTTGTATTTTAAATAGAGGATTAGAATCAAAATAGCAAGAAATAAACAAAGAAGAACTTCATTTTCAAGACAATTTTTATATGAGGTGAATATATGATATATTAATACTATGTATTTAAATTGGGAATTTCTATCCCTCCACTACTCTTCTTCTTCTTAGAGTGCCGTCTCCCTACGGGGTTGGCAATCATATGGCTATTTTTTTTTAGAACTTGCTGCTCTAAACAAATCAATCGATCAGCATTGATACCAATCACATAGATTCTATAACCTTGAGTTCTGCCTTCGGCAACAGATCTTCTTCCTTGAATCTTCTGAAATAGTCCTTCTTGAGTACCTATTCCATTTCAGAACCCGAACTGCATCTTGCTAATATCCTCCTCTAACCTTTTGTATATTCTATGTATTACTTTCAGCAGTACTTTTAATGTATGACTCATGAGGCTCAGTGTTCAATAATCAGAGCACTCTTGCTGCTTGTTTTTTAGGAATGGTTATAAATGCTAACTTCAGCCACTCTTGTGGTATTATTCCCGTATCGTACACCATGTTGAATAAATCTGCCAATACTTCCAAGTTATCCTCTTCCACTAGTTTTAACAGTTCTACTGGTATTTCATCTAATCCAGCTGCCTTATTATCTTTAGAATTTTTGATAGTATATTTGATTTCATCTATTGTGATCTTCCTCGTGATCCTCCGATCGTCTTAATTTCTCTGGTAACTCTATTAGTAGTACTCCTTTTTTGTCTATTATGTGTCCTTGCTGTCTACGTTGACCCATTTGAATAACTTCTCTTATTTTTTTTGTGCATATTTCTCATATCATATTTTGTTTCTAGTTCTAATATCTCTTTACATTCGTTGTATTTCTATATACTTCTGTAGAATATTTCCTTCTTTCTTCCATCTGTAGTAGTATTTCTTCTGTCATCCACTGTTTTATAATACTATTTAAATTGGAAATTTGTATCCCTCCACTACTCTACAATTATCTTATTATCACTCTGCTGAACAGTTCACCCAAGAACATTTTGTTTCAGTCTATGTTTATGTTCTCATCAATAAAATATTCTAATTCATATCATCATACATAAAAAGTCTACCTATATAAAGTTCTTTCAACATTTTGACTTTCGACAGATTCCTTCTGGTTAACTGCATGACTAAATCTGTATATGAAGAACAGGGTTGCGAAAATGTCTGGGAGCAAGGAGCTATCTTTGAAATTAAGTAACTTATAACAGGATATGAAATGACTTTGTATTATACATATTTAAGATGATTTTTCATGTTTGTATTACATAACCATTTTATATATGGTTGCCACCTTGTAATTTTTTTAATTAGCAATGTAAGTTGAGTGATATATCACTTCTTTTTTATGTGCCATACTTGTATTCAAGTGTTTATGATATTAACAAGCTGCTGCAATGCTTCTTGGTCGGTAGCTATATAAAAGAATTCCTCAACTGTTCAATCAGTCCAATATCTAATGTTACACAGACATGACAGCAGTTTTCTTCCAACCCAGAGTTTTCCTTCTATTTTACACTGAGTGATTATAAGCAATAGTAGTTTGTTTCCAAACATAAACATTTACTTTCAACAAAATGCACTCCCAGGTTACCATAGAGTCAATAAGCATTATATTTAAATACAAAATGCCCTAGAGATTGATTAACCAAACAGGTGTGATTAAGTACGCCCACTAATTTTTTCTCCAAGATTACCTGAAAAACCTCGTTTATGTTTTTATCGAGCGCTAATTTACTGATTGAAAACTCAGTGACTTGCGAATCTGAATCAAACCGGCGGATCGATGCTTGTCTGAGACACTGCAATTGTTCAGAGATAATAAGTAACTCTTTTTAAAGATAATGAACGTGACTTTACCTAGTAACAAGGCATTTACTAAACATACACTATTGAAAATGATTATTCCACTAATAACTTTGTATACTTCGATCCCTATAATTTAAAACAAAAAACTATTTATGAAAGAAAAGAAGGTCACATGACAAATGACAAACATTAAGAATTGTGTCAAAAGAGAAAAGCTTAACTAATAAAAATAAAAAAAAACATATTAAAAATGGGTATTCTAAATTATATAGTTGAATATTTATTAATATTCAGCTTCAATACAGCTTCAGCTCTACTCCTACTTAGAAATAAACATTGTTTAAACAGAACTAAGTAACAGTAACTTTGATTGCACAATTTTGTTCATATGTATCTTTTCTTTTACTGCTAACTGTTGAATTAATCAATAATAGTTATTTTGTCACTTTAGGAATTTTCCAAGTATTTTTTTATACATAATATATGTGTTTTACCTGTAGTTTGTTGTTATTATCGTCCTGATATTAGGTTTTGTGGACAAATTGTTGAAATTATAATAAATTTACAATTATATTTGTATATAATTAGCATTATATGAGTAATATTCGGTTTAAGTATCAAGTAACATATAACTGTGTTCAGGGTATGTCATAAATATGTTGCAGTTTAGAAATATTATATTTTGCATAATAGATATTGATAACCTCGCTTCTTAATTTTCAGTATGTTTGTTATTTATCACATTAGGTTTATCAATAGTTGACATATCTAATATCTACCAATTAACATTTTTATAGTGCAGCTGGCTTGGTTATTATTATTGAATAATGAATCATAACTTTAAACTGATAAAATGGAATTTCTTAGAAAACTTTTTCCCAAAAACGATTAATGATAAAAATAAACATTGCAAAAAGAAACCTTTGCCAAAACGCTGATTTTATAAAACAGCAATAAATAAATCATTTCAGTTATACATTTGCTAACCTGACAGTTTGTAACTGGTTAGATAATACCTAATATAATAATGATTATTTAAGGAAGTGAATCAACTAACCTAAGATTAACTTCCTGCGACTAGCATGAGGTTCCTCGGTATATACCCATTCAAAATCTGTTCTCGATACATGTTGGCCCATTTTTGAAAATTTCGCACTTTAACTTAATTAAAAAATTAACTTCTTAATTAACAACAATTTAAAAACTTCGCTATTTGACACATTCTTAGCTGACCGGATACGACTCACTCTCACGTACTCCTCAAACTATCCAAAAAAAGACTACATTTAGATTCTGAATTGACTAGTCCGGTCTGACAATTACTCGCATTGGCTTTCCATTCGTTCGCGTGACTGATAAAAGTATGAATGGTGTATGGTGTGAAGCAACAGGACCGTCTTGAAAATAATTTAAAAATTAGCACAGAATATTAGGATCCTTGATACATAAACTCCTCTATTACGCCAGAGATAAAATTCGATTCAGTCAGCTTGGGCACCCTTGGTACTATTTTAACATAATCATGCACTACAACGACATAATCATAGATAAATAATATAATAGTAGAAAGACAGAATTGTATATATATATATTATATATATATATATATCCCGTTTATAGCGTAATCCGCCTTTGGGTTCCCGTTCGCCAAGCCTGTCTATTCTGCCAGTCTTTTTCAAATAGATTTCTTGCTGACATGGCTTTTGAAATTCCTTGCATCCATGTTGTTGGTGGTCGTCCTCGTTTTCTTTTCTCTGGTGGTACCCATTCTAATATTTTTTTTGGTAGTCTTTCTTCCCCCATACGTCTAACATGTCCGTACCATGTCAGTTGTTGTTTTTCGATGTCTTCTATAATTGATCTTTGTACATTCATTTGATTTCTTATGTCCTCATTTCTCACATGTTCTAATCGAGACTTTCCCGCTGCTCTCCTCCAAAAATCCATTTCAACTGCCAAGAGGTTACCTTTAAGTTTTTGTGATAACTGCCATACTTCTGAGCCATACACGATTACTGGTTTCAATATTGTGTTATATATTCTTTTTTTCGTTTCCGGTCTTATATTTTTCTGCCATAGTACTGAATTCAATGCACCTATAACTCGTTTCCCTTTGGTTATTCTGTCTTTTATGGCTTCATCAGTTCTTCCTGTCTTTGTTAGTTTTACCCCCAAATATATACATTGATCGCATTTCTTAATTTTCCCGTCTTCTAAGTCGAGGTCATCTGCAGTATTTTCTCCTCCTATGCAAAGATATTGCGTTTTTTGTAAATTTACTTCGAGGCCCCATTTTTTATACTCTTCCATTAGTTTTCTAGCCATATACTCTAGGTCTTCCTTGTCTTGGGCAATAACTACCTGGTCATCTGCATAATGCAGCGTGTATAACGTTTCATCCCCAATAGACAGCCCCATCCCTTTACACTTCTTTTTCCATTGCCTGAGTGCTTCGTCGATATATATATTAAATAGTATGGGAGATAAAACAACAACCTTGCTTCAGTCCTTTTGTTACCTGAAAACCATTAGTAACCTTATTTCCTATTTTAACTTTAGATATTGTGTTGTTATATACAGTGTAGGTAAAATTTTAAGGTCGGTATGGTAAAATTTAACAGGATATCTAACGCAGATATAAAATCATATTTTCAGCGAATTAGACAAAGATAACAATCATATTTCCCCTTCGTCTCCCCTCCTAAAATCCTTTTAACACTCATTGGCCATTGCCCATTAGTGAGACGATTAGTTCCGATCAGATATTCTCTGGTTCCGATCCTAATATACCTAAAAAACTAGAGGTGGGTCCTCTCGTTTTTTTAATTTTTATCGGAACCGTTTTTCGTAAACTGTAACTAGTTGATTGTTTACCAGTATTCAAATTAGCGAGTACACAAACATATCGATACATTTTTGGCAAAGTAACGTAAGTCACCAAAAACGATTTGTAGAAAAAACAATTTTTTAATTCAACCTGCTTAAACTTATTTAAATTATGACTGAAAAAACTTGTCCTAAAAAAGGTTTAAAGTAAATCTAGGCTTACTACACTCTTTCAGTACCTTTTTAACAGTAATAGCATTAGTTTAATTGAAAAACATTATTTTCGCCAAAAATGTCACTTATGTTACTTTGCCAAAAATGTATCGATATTGGCTATTATCGTTTATGTGTATAAGTATTGAAATAAAAGAACCTAACGAAGGATATATTTATTGTAACTTGAAAAATAAATTAAATAATACAAATGGTACTTAAATACTTACATTTACATTACACATTATTAAATCGCGAATCGTCTAAATTGACATTTAAAAACATAAGTTTTTCCACTTTTCTTGTTAGTCGCGTTCTTCTTTTATTTAAAATTATACCAGATGTTAAACATGTGTTCACAAGGAAAAGATTTTGTTACAATACTACAACATTTTATGAATATAGTGGTTAAGTTACGATATACATGGCGATGGTTTTTTCACCACGGTAATGGACAGTTCCAATCTCCGTTCGAAATTGTTTGTGGGTAATATATCATCAGACAATTACATGTCGACTTCTTTTATACCTCTCGATACAGGTGTATGTTTAGATGAGTCATGTCCAATTAATTCATCAAAAATACACCATGGACTTAAGTCATCTTTATCAGTTTCTTTTTCTTGGACTGATTGATTTTCAAGATTTACTAAACTTTTCGTTTCATCCGTTTTCCATAGTTAAAGAACCAGCTTTTAAAAAGTTTGCAGGGTGGATTCCTGGATATAAACCGCCAACAAGAAAAACTTTGTCAGGTTCATTACTTCAGGAATGTTATGTCAAAAGTGAGCAAATTATTAGATCACAAGTTGTTAAAGAAGTAGAAAATATCTGTATTACTACTGACCTCTGGACATCTGGAGTAACTGAGAGTTACTTCGCATTAACAGGACAATATTTAACCGAAAATTTAGTATTCAAAACTTTTTTATTAGGCTGCTGCCATTTTTCTGGAAACCATAATCCAGAAAACAGCGATTACTGAAATTATTAATCAGTGGGGTCTAAAACGAAAAGTAAATTTTGCAGTAACTGATAATTCCTCAAATATGGTCAAAGCTATTAAATATGTTTTGTTTTATGATGATTGTGATTTATGATGATGATTAAATTTATTGGTGGGGGACGCACTTAAATGCTGTCGTGTACAAATAGATAAAATAAAAAGTCCTTTTTTCGACAATTCTGCAAAAAAAACACATTTCAAAAAAGTACCTTATCTTCAGAAAGGCTTTTAAAGTATTAATTACAACAGAACACAGTTCCCAAACGGCCAATCCAAGACGTGGAAACTAGGTAGAACTTCACCTATTACATGTTAAAAAGAATGACCGAGTTAGAAGAGGCAACCCGTTCCACATTGGTATTAAATAATACAGACTTAGACTTAAACCTAATCTAAATAAAGAACACTGGATTATTTGTTCTCAACTTTCCCAAATTTTACGGCCGTTTAAAGAAATAACAAGTACAATGAGTGACCAAAAATGCTTGAATGCTAGTTCAGTGATTGTTGTGGTACGCTGCCTGCAAGAATCTTGCAATAAAATTTTAGCAAACGGCATACTTACATCCATAGTATCCGACATAGTACAATTACTAATATCGGGTTTAGCAAAAAGATTTAGAGGGATAGAACAGAGTGGCACATTGTCATTATGTACATTTATGGATTCACGATTTAAAGTGCAGAACAAAACAAAAAGTTAAGAAGCTGGTTACTTCTATAATTAACGAACAAGAAGATTGTACTATTGAAAATCAACCAGTACAAGAAAAAGAAACCAATAAATATGACTTAAGTCCATGGTGTATTTTTGATCAATTAATTGGAGATGACTCATCTACACGTACACCTGCATCGAGAGTCCATTACAAGAAAAACTTATGTTTTTATGTCAATTTAGACTATTCGCGATTTAATAATAACGTGTAATGTAAATGTAAGTCCGATTTACTATTTGTATTGTTTAGTTTATTTTTCAAGTTATAATAAATATATCATTAGGTAGTTTCTTTCACTTCAAAAGATATACACATAAACGATAATAGCCGTTATGTTTGTTTATGTAGGTACTCTCTTACTTGAAACTACTTTTAAACAATCATAGTTACTTGTTTATGAAAATTAAAATTTTTAAATGCTTTTTAGCATTTAAAAATGCTTAAATGCTTTTTAGCATTTAAAAAAATTTAAATTTTTTTGGAATCCTGAGAAAACTAACAAATATTTTTGAAAAATTTAAATGCAGAATGGAAGATTACATTATTACCGAGCGCCGAAAGTCCCTTAGAATAAACAAAAAGTTTTTTTAATGAGATATTTGAAATTAAAAATCACACTAAATTTTGTTTTTTTTTTTCATCCCTATAACTTATTAAAATAAACATTATAGAAGTTTTCAGGGACTTTCGGCTCTCGGTAATAATGTATTGTTTCATTCTGCGTTTAAATTTTTCAAAAATATTTATTAGTTTTCTCAGGATTCGAAAAAAATGAATGCTTTTAAAAAACATTTTGCTTCTACGCTCTTAACGATAAACTAGCACGACCCACCTCTACTTCTCGTTACTCGATCTTTTGACCAGAAGACTATCTAGACTAGACGTTGCCAAAGAATTAGTGTATGAATATTTTTTAATGTGGCGTTATTGTATGCATGTTTAATTGTTTATTATTTCATATTGGGAAATTATTTTGATGTTTAGATTTTTAGTTCGGAAATCGTACTTAAAATACGAAACATTAATAAATTTTATTTATATAAAACGATTTCCGAAATGGAAATCAAAATGTTATATTACAATTATTGTAAAGAAAACTTGTGGCATATTCCCAATAAAAAAAACAGTAACCTGCCATTTAAATCAATTTCGCCCAAATTTGATTATCTTGAGCATTTTATCTTCTTGATAGAACATTGTTCAAATGCAAAAAAGACAACAGGTCAAATAAAACCGATAAGTTTGGCAACGTTGAACTTCCCCTTTTTTGTTATTTCTAGGCATGAAGGTTCGGCCACAGAGTTTGGCGATATAAAGGGCGTACCTAATATACCTCTCTCTTTTTAAACAGCTGTTTCTCACTCCATCTCACGTAAGGTCCATACCGACCATAAAATTTTTCCTACACTGTAGATCTTTAATAGCGTCGATTAGTGAAACGCTGATACTGGTTTTCTCCAATACTTCCCACAATTTCGCAACAGGCACGGTGTACATATTGCAATTCTGCAATATTGCA